ATAGGGGGTAGGGGGAGGTTCCCAGGACCCTCCTTATGAGGAAGTCATGCCCATAAGGAGGCACCATCAGGCTGTGTGACCTGACTGACTGGCTAGACCCCACCCCTACTTGAAGTTCACTTGAAGTCCTTACGTGAACTGCCACAGTATGCAAGAGCATTGACCAGGGAAGGTTAGTGTAACATGAGTTATCTGTCTCTGATGTTGACTGTTTATTTCCTAGAATCAAGAGAGAATATGCATTGTTACTGCCCCTTCAGAGCACACTGGAACTTGTGTGACAGGTGCACATTCTCTTGGCACTTTGTTCTTTGCATTAAAAACACAATGCACATGTAGACACACACGTGCACACATTCTTACACTCATATGGAGCCAAAGTACCAGTGGAGTAAATCTCATGCCTTTAGTTATGAATTGTGTTTCCATCTAGTACATTCCTGGTTCCTTGATTTAGATAGCAACAACAAACCACTTGTTCTAATCCTTTGTGTGCCCCTTGGACACGTCCAGTATCATTGAGATGTTGAGTGAGCACCTGATAGGGGTCTTTAGCTGACATAAAAATTCATCTTTCATTGAGCTGGATGAATCCTAATAAATCAAAGTAGGGCAGTTGTCATTGAGCAACATGCTCACTCCCCATGATTCACCCGTGTGATATTTTTGCCTCCATTCCTCGTGAAAGCAAGGGCACCTGCTTTCAGGACTTTCCCTCGTGTCACTCGGGAACTTAAAATGAGAGAATCACATGGAGGCATGACCCAGGCAGGTTGAAAATCCCAGTTTCAGTGTGGAGATAAACCTCAGTCAAGTAAACTATTAACGAACAGGATCCCACCCTCACCCCGAGTTGAAATAGCAACAGGGTTCCAACTCAGAATCTCTTACATTTGGAAAACTGCCCTCCTTAAGGAATGAAGGTAGTCAGCCCAGAAAAATGCCAGTCACTCCAAAGGAGTTTCTTCTCCCTGTCCTGTGCTAGTGCTTTTTGTCATCTTATTTGACAGGATACTACATATACGAATTTGAAATAAAGCAAATGAAAAATGAATTACAGCAGTTTATCATTTCTTCTTAGTGTTTATGCTAGGCATAAAATTTTTATATAGCTCAAATTGATAGTCAATTCCAGTTCATGGTTTTAGATGGATCAAATATATTTTATGAAGTGTTCATTACACAACATACACTCCATATTTTCATGTAACATTTATCATGTGCTCATGCAATATACAGAAGAAATAGAAACAAGCACTAGAATGAATTCATGCCTGTAGAACAGAATAACAAAATACAAAGTCATCGACTTGTTCATATTTAACAGGTCTTACATTTTAAAATATGTAAGGAAAGCTGTCTGATTATAACTGTCTGTAAAACTGTGATATAAGTAGAAGGAGAAAGTATAATATTCACGTGGCAAGTATGGTGATGAGTTAGAAAAACGCGCAGGACACAGCATATCATCATGCTTGAGGCTATGATTTATCACAGTGAAAGGACGCAGAGCGAAACCAACAATGGGCAAAGTGTATGAGACTAAGGTTTGAGGAAACCAGACACAGCATTCCAAGAGCCCTCTCCCAGTGGAGTCCCACAGATCAAAAACCAAATCAAATGATTCCAACTCATCGTGACCCTATCGGAGAGAGGAGAGCTTCCCTGTAGAGTTCCCCAGGTTGTAAATGTATGTGGAAGCTGGCTGCCACATCTTTCTCGGGGAGATCCCAGCTGCCACTTTTGGTTCGTGGGGAAATGCTTTAACCACTCGGCCCCTCTTGGTCACACAGGATAGGTTTAATTCCTCCAGCAACAAGTGACTATGCATAAGAAGTGTTGTGTACCAGAATGCTCCAAGCAGATTCTGGGGGCTGGTCCTGAAGACACTCTCTGTCTGGCAAATACCAAAATTCTAGACTCGCAGAAGACAAGCAGATGTTTGACATAAGCCTCCTTGTATGTCGGTTCAGCAAAGTGAAGCATTCATGTGGGTAGAGATTGGTGGACATGTTTCTAAACATCTAAGATCCTACATGCCAACCGAGGGCCAGCCTTGCAAACAGCCTTGCCAGAGCAAAGCTTCTTAAACTCTTGCCATTCGTGACCCCATTACTTGAGAAAATTTTACACAACTCTCGGTATATAAGATAATAGCTGACTCACTCTATCACTCTCTCACACTCTCTCACTCACTCACTGACTCACCCTCTCACTCACTTTCTCACTCACTCACTCACTCTCTCACTCACTCACTCTCTCACACTCACTCACTCTCTCACACTAGAAAAAAAAAAGATAATAGCTATACATTTACTGATAAAAGTAATATCAAAATTTATTTTTAGACAATTACTTGATATACATAAAATTCTAGCATGTGGTTTTTTAAAAATTGCATTCTATTGTGATTAGATGTGCTCGTTTATTTGGACTTGAATGAAATCTTGGTGGAATATTAATACTGCAGGATAGAGCGTATCTTCAGCATTTTTCAGAGTTGATAGATATTTTGATTTTGTAATCCTCAGTGCTGAGCGTGCCACTTCATGTAGATCTTAAAGCTCACACTGCCTTCCAGGCAATGTCAATGCCGAGTGACCCTGTGGGACAGAATAGAACTTTCCCTATGGGTTCCTGAGATTGTACATCTTTATAGCAGTAGAAATCCTCATTTTTCTCCTATAGAGTAGCTGATGGTTTGAACTGCTGACCTAGCCATTAGCAGCTCAACACATAGCTCCCTGTACCACCAGAGCTGGTACCAAATGGCAGAAGAATGCTTAGAGAGGTCATGGCCAAAATTCAGAAGTTGTTTTTGAAAAATTGAATTTTTGGTTGTTGCTCATTCAGAAAATGTTTGCTGTTGACGAATTGTTTGTGAGCCCCACATTCAATTATGCAACCCCATAGAGGGTCACCACACACAGTTTAAGAAGCTTTGTTCTAGTGGCTAGCAGTTTGCTATGCTAATTCTTTCAGTACAGCCTTTAAAAGTACACTAGGAGGATTGGGGGAGGGGAAGGGGAGAAAGAGGCAATCTATCACAAGGATCTATCTATAATCCCCTCCCAGGGGGACGAACAACAGAAAAGTGGGTGAGGGGCAATGGAGGACAATGTAAGATATGAAAATAATAATCTATAACTTAAGGGTTTGGGAGGGAGGGCTGGTGGGGGAGGGAGTGGAGAGAAATGGGGAGCTGATATCAGGGGCTTAAGTGGGAAGAGACTACTTTGAAAATGATGATGGCATATGTGCAAATGTGCTTGACACACTGGATGAATGTATGGATTGTGATAAGAGATGTAAGAGTCCCCGATAAAACTATTCAATAATAATAAAAGATACGTTTATCAGAAGCCACTGTCAATTATTAACTACATTAGGAGATGCTATGTTTTCTTTTAAACAGTATCCTATTGAACACTTAAAATTAATAAATAGCTTTTTAGTTTAAAAAAAATCAGTACAGGTGGTATAACCAGATGAGCCTATGTTCACACCCACATCCTACCACTGAATATGGACATGACTTTGAACAATACATGCAACACTTTGACCCTCAATTTAATCAACTGTTACATCTCAGAAAACCCACAAGGGCAGTGCCACCCTGTCCTACAGGGTCACTGTAAGTCCACATTGACTCAGTTCCATACTGAGCATGAAAGTAGCTCCTAACCCTGACACTTAAAACTCTTGGGTGGATATTAATATGCGTTGGAGGAAATCAGTGGGCTTATCAATCTAGGTACAGTCTGGTTTTTATTTGTTTTTAGTAATAAGACATTACTCATTTTCCGTGCTGTTTACCACCCTCCTCTTTAACCTCTTGACAAGCAAGTAGAACAAAGCATTTTGATGAATAATACTTTTCCTCGATGTAGTTACAGTTCAGATATAATTCTAGGCAGGTCGACATTTTTCTTTTTGGAAGGGCATATCTATTAATTAAGCATCATGATCACATGAAAAGCTCATGCTGAGTAGGCTGTCCCCGCAATTGAAATAATAAATGAATGAATGGGCTTAGGGGTGTAATTTTAATATGCCTAAGATTGGTCAATAAGAGGCACTTTTGAGTCTAGCAGCTATCTCAGATGATGCACATGCATTCATTTATTTTGTAATTTCTTCTTTCTCCTGAATATGATTAACCAAATAATCAATAATATGGAAAGAACAATGGTCTTTTGTTTTGTACCATGGCTCCAAGATCATTTTTACCAAATAAATGACATTTATTCTATATCAAAATTTTAAATCTGCGTGACCACTATTATAAAGTAGGACCGTTTTATGACCTCCTATAAGCATTTAATATTAAAGGATAAATTGCTTTGGGTGAACTTCAATAGATCACTTATGGTGCTCATTTTGCTATGTAAATATATATTAGTTATGGAAATAGTTCATTATAAGAAATCATTTAACTAAAGTATTAAAGTTCAAGTAGAATTACTTCTTAAAATTAGGGCTTGCATTTATTATGAAAAAATAGAAAAATTTTAAAAAGCAATCTCTTCAGAATATTTCTATTAGTGATTCCCCTTCATCCTGATAGTGAAGGGAGGGTGTGTTACTCTGGATAGACTAGAGAAACAAGTATATAGAGACACTTATATGTGTATAAAAAAGAGCTTTATATACAAGAGCAGTTGAATATTGAGAAAACATCCCAGCCCAGTCCAGATCAAGTTCATAAGTCTGATATTAGCTCATATGTCCGATACCATTCTATAACATCCTCTTCAGACTCACGAAACCCGTGCAATGACACCGAATGCAGGCAGATCACAGGCCATTGGGTGGGAAGTCATGTGGATCCAGTGGCTTTGTAAGCATCTCAGAGCTGGCTTTGTAAGCATCTCAGAGCTGGTGGATCCAGTGGCTCATGTGGCTCCTCAGCTGCAATGTCTCCCAGGGAGTGAGCAGAGAAAGAGTGTGTCTCCTGCCTCCAAGGAGGATACAGGAGTTCCCAGAATCCTCAGAAGGCCATGCCCAGAGGCCTCATTGGTATGATCTGAATGATAAACTAGACTCCACCCCATTCACTCTGAATACTAGAATTGACACGATTATGTAACTACCACAGAGGGTGAGGTGAGGCCTGATGTGTACTGTACAGATAATAATGGTTTGCCACGCCTTGAAAATTAGGTTGTACTTCAAAGACTATGTTAAATTTTAAATTTATGCCATTTAAGTGGGCTAATTTATAAGATGTAGTAATTAATCCATTTGTTCATTATTGAAGCACTGTGGAAAAAACAATGTGCACATAAAAGCAATACTGTGAAAAGGCACTGTTATTTATCCAAGTAGTTGATAAAAGCCTTTAAATTGCTACTTACATTCTAGAATTTATCACCACCTCTATCACAGTTCCTAAAATTGTTGATGGATGGCTTTTACTCTTCTAGATTATATTATATGGAAATTATAGTGTTTATTATTTTATCCTTTTTATGAATCAGCTAATTCATTTTGAAGCTGAAGAATTTCCAAAATATGTTACATTTGAGTAAAATTGGGTTCATTTAATGTCTTAAGGAAATGTAAGAAAGGAATCGGTTGCAATTTTATGAAACTTCTATCACTAAATTTAATGATTAAGTAAAACTAATCAATTCTATTTTTCCTTTCTCACAAAGGGTATTTGAAAAACTAATATTAAAACGTTCATGATTCCCATCAAAAGCGAACCAAATGTTAAATCAAATTTATTATTTAATTTCCTGTGTTTTCATGTACATGATTAATGGGAACAAGTCAAACTGATTATTTGTGAAGTAATAAACCATGCTCATCATGTTTTTTAACCATTAAAATGTGTTTTCTAACCTTCACAAATAATTGTTTTTAAGGTAAGTATACCTACTCCTCAGTTATTGACGTGGTTAGGCTCCAAAGAGCAGGTCAGCCTTATGTGAAAATGAAAGATAAGTACATCTGATTTGAAATGGAGGATGACTGCATCTTTACATACTTGTCAAATCATTATCACGTAGCTGCCAAGACAGAGACTCATGGCCCAGACAAGTTGACACATGACCTCAATCCTCACAGCCAGCATTACTCTTGCCTCAGAGCTTGATATTAGTTATGCACAAAGTAGTTGGATAGCAGATTTTTTGGTCTTGTGATAAGTGCAAAAAAACCATAGTGAAATATTCGGTATGTGAGTAGGTGTGAGCCAATAACTCAGTAACTGAGACTTTCTTATCCTCACTCTCTTTCAGGTCCCATAAGTAGTATCTTGGTGAATAAATACGGCAGCCGTCCAGTGGTGATAGTGGGCGGTTTACTATGCTGTTTGGGAATGGTCACTGCCTCTTTTAGTACCAGTGTTATAGAGCTTTATGTCACCGTGGGATTCATTGGAGGTAAGTCAAGATTTGTTTTCAAATTTTCTGTTCTACATAGCGTATTCTTAACTGATATTCTTTTAATTTACTTTTATATCAAATACTATATAGAGTGTTTTATGCTAATGTATCAAAATATTGGCTAATAGAGTGGTCTAACAAACTCATTTCAAGAAATAACACCATATTATCTAACATGTTATGCAATGTCCTATAACCATCCAAAAGGTAACAACTTTCTTTTTTAAAATTTCGCTCTTGGTTTATGTGTTAGGCTGCTAACTGAAGGGTCAGCAGTTTGAAACCAGCCACTCTCAGGGAGAAAGATGAGACGTTCTATTCCCATAAAGCTACACAGCGCGGGAAGCCCCTGGAGGACATTGAGCAACACCCTGTAGGGTTGGTCTGAGTTAGAATAGACTCAGCACCAGCGAGCTTGGCTTTTGGAAAATGCCCCTCTTTACTTATGTGCTATCCTGTTGTTAGATGCTATCTTGTTGCTTCTGGCCCATAGCAATCCATTGCACAACGGAATACAACACTGTCCAGTCTTGTGCCATCCTTACAATTGTTCTCATGCTTGAGCCCATTGTTACAGCCATTGTGCTAATCCAACTGATTGAGGATCTTCCTCTCTTTCAGTAACCCCTCCATTTCACCAAGCATGATGTCCTTCTCCAGAGACTCATCTCTCCTGGCAACATGTACATAGTACGTGAGATGTAGTCTCACGATCTTTGCCTCTAAAGGGCATTCTGGCTCTACTTCTTCCAAAACAAATTTGTTTGTCCTTTTAGCAGTCCGTGGTAGGTTGAATATTCTTCACCAGTGTCATAATTCAAAAGCCTCAATTGTTCTTTGGTCTTCCTTACTCAGCATTCAACTTTCGCATGCATATGAGGCCCTTGAAAATACCCTGGCTATCCTGTAAATGTCAAAATGTCAAATCGTTTTGATGACTGTGTTGTTGTGGTTAGTTTTTTGAGTTTCACTCGACCCTTCAATTGTTATGGTATGATAGATACAAACTTTTTGTATATAAATAGCTTAATTTCAAAAAAAATCTTTTTCATGACTTATTTTCTTTTCACTCATGTTTTAAATGTTGCCAAAATATGGTGTATCCTTCATGCGCTTTTGAAACTTTAACAATAAGGTCATTGCTATGTTTTTCTTAGTAACGGGACCCTAGGATGATATCTCTTCCTCGAGTGATAGTACACGTGTTGAAAAGTTCTGTGAGACACATTTGCAGATAATACAAATGTTTTGAAATGAACTATTGTCACTTCATAGTTCCTCACTATAGACACGTCAGGCATTCTCACTTATGTTTATTGACTCCATTCACCTATCAATTTAGAACCATTTTTATTAACCTCAATCATAAGTTCCTTTTAAAATCTACATTCAACGTTTCAAGAAAAATTAGATTTCAAGATATTAAAGAGACTAATTTTTCCCTTTTGTCTATGGATATAAAGGTAAATATAGTTTTGTGTTGTAGCAATGTTAGATCGATCTAATCACAATAGGTTATGTTTTATTTAATGAAAAAGGTAAGTAAATATTGTAACCAATAATGATGTTAACTAAAAATCTTCTTCTTTACAATTTACCTAAACTCTCTTACTCCTTCAATGTGGGGAAACAACTTTTGACATTGTAGAGGAGAATCTTATTATATCTAAGCATTGTCATAATCTGAGCAGAATATTGTAAATGATGGTAGCAATCAGGTGTGGCTGAGATAGAATCTGAGAACCTACAGGCCTATCATTTCCCCCAAAGCACATGCTTGTTTTGTGCCTACTTTTAGGGGCTCTTTTCCTCACAGGCACTGTTTGCATTAGCAGGAGTATGTCTCTGTATCAAAACCCGTGGGTCCAAGAACCTGAGTAGCTAACTGCTTCACAACACAGGCTCAACTTCCGTAACTTATTAAATACAGATTTGTGCCTTACCATACCATAACCCTAAACCAAACCCACTGCCATTTGAATTGATTCTGACTCATAGAAACCCCTATAATTGTTTCCAAGTTTGCAAATTTTTAAGAGAGAAGACAGCTTCATCTTTCTCCTGATGGGTTTGAACTGCCTACCTTACAGTTAGCCCTTAGTGCTTACCCAATAGTGCAACCCAAGCTCCTTTCTCTGTTCATATGCCCCCAAAATAATATAGATTAATGCCTAGAATAAGAAAAAAAGAGAAACTTATATTGAGTAATTTTATGTATTTCCTAAAGCAACCTTTTTGTTATTACTAACAAGTGGGAACTTGGGGAGCTTAAGCCAATGATTCATTTCTCAAAGGTAATATTCACTGCCACAAAGAGTCCCCTTCCATTACCATCAAGTCAATTTTTACTGATAGCAACCCTGAAAGTGGCGAAGAAGCGCCCCAATCGAGTTTCCAAATCTGTGATCTGTATGCAGCAGTTGGCCACATCTTTTTCCGGCCAATTGGTGGTGGCTTCAAAGCAACAGCTTTTGGTTAGCCAGCGGAGGGTTTAACCACTACGCCACCATAGCTCTTGGAGAGTGAAAACTTCTCCCTCATTAGCAAGCAACTTTAATCCCTGAGATACGCGTATGCTTCCCTAGTCACATTCTCTACTTTAACATTCGTGTGCATCTACATACATGAACTATGTAAATTGATTTCTCTTTTTTATTATGTTCATGGTATTGGAATAACTGTTTCTGGTGAGGTATCAGCATGTTTCACATGATGGTTCTTAGTCTGGTTGCATCCCTTCTACTCTGACAGTAAAATCATGTATTCAACCTTTTATATGAGTTCTTGCTCCAAGGAAGAGCTCTGTTTCTTCTACATATTTGTGTGTAAACGTGTAATTGAGAGAGAAATTAATCTGTAGAATTAGAAGATTTTAATTAAGAACTTACGTTGCCCTAGTTTTAGCCCATGTTGTGATTGATTATTCCAGCATTCATAGAAGTGAGTAGTTTCATGTATGTGGCTTAAGATGGCATTAACATTAAAGTGTAATATCAATGTCCAGGTATGGGGAACTTTCCATTAAAAAAAAATTCCATTTATGTTTGCCGTCACCAGCCATGTTTACACGCAGTTTCAGTTTTATTTCAGCCTTCCCACCCGAGTGTCTTGTGAGCCGTGTGATGCGTGTGTGTTTGCATTTGGCTCTACTCTGCTTTTGTTTTGTTCTTTTTCAGGTTTAGGATTAGCCTTCAATCTGCAACCCGCCTTAACGATAATTGGCAAATACTTCTTAAAGAAGCGACCTGTGGCAAATGGATTAGCCATGGCAGGAAGTCCTGTGTTCTTAAGTACATTGGCTCCTTTCAATCAGTTTCTTTTTAATAATTACGGCTGGAAAGGAAGTTTCTTGATTTTGGGAGGCATATTTTTGAATGCCTGTGTGGCTGGGTCTCTCATGCGACCTATTGGACCCAGACAAACTAAACCTAAAAATAAGATTGTCATAAGAGGGGAAGAATCGGGTCTGAAGAAAAGCCACAAGAAAAAATCAAGTGTGGAAAAACTTAATAAGTATTTAGATTTCACCCTCTTTAAGCACAGGGGCTTTCTTATATATCTATCTGGAAATGTGATCATGTTTCTGGGTTTTTTTGCCCCAGTTATATTCTTGGCTCCTTATGCTAAGGACCAGGGGATCGATGAGTATTCCGCCGCCTTTTTGCTATCTGTTATGGCTTTCGTTGATATGTTTGCCAGGCCTTCTGTAGGACTGATTGCAAACCACAAGCTCATCCGGCCCCGAATCCAGTACTTCTTCAGTTTTGCAGTTATGTTCACGGGAATCTGTCATCTCCTGTGCCCGCTGGCAGAAGATTACACAAGCCTGGTGATATATGCCATATTCTTTGGCTTGGGATTTGGAAGCGTAAGCGCTGTCCTCTTTGAAACCCTCATGGACCTTGTGGGGGCTGCAAGGTTTTCCAGTGCTGTGGGACTTACTACCATTGTGGAATGCTGCCCCGTTCTTCTTGGCCCTCCTCTTGCTGGTAAGCCCATCTCACATCAAGGAAAGGAAAGGAGCATACAATTAACATTTATGATCTGAGAATATTCTTGGTGGTAAAGAATAAGGTTTATCATAATAAATATCAATAGCTGACAGGACTGTGGTTGGATCATTCTAAGTTTTATTATATCTTTAAAATTTTCATAATAAATTAACTGCAGACCCATATTAATTTCAGCTTCACCCTATGAACTTAATAATTCAAGTTATGCTACACTTAGTATAATATTTGTCAGAATTTTATCTATATCTGTTATTTTGTTCTTTTAAAATGTCAGAAAATACAATCTTTTTTTCTTTTTTCTCATATGTTTAAAAGCATATTAAAATAAGCCAAAATTTCAAAATAATTCTGCTCAAATATTCTTAATCAGTGTGTCAATGGCATTATATTTCTATGGAACTTTGAATATGCTTAAGAAATACTATTATATCAGTATTAGTAATACTAATATATCAGAAATGCTAAGATACTGATATGGGTTTATAAGTATTTGTGTGTGTTGCTGCTCTGGTTAGTTACCATCAAGGCTATTTTTCAATATTACCGATCTTTATGTGCACGTGTGTATATATATTAATATCTTATTAATACTGCATGCTATATTCATAATTCTATCTTATTAATATATTAGCTGCCTCAGAGAGGTTTCAACTGTGCGGAGTAGAACTGAATCTCTCGGGTTTTCCCGGCTGTTGTTGCCCAGGGCCTTACTGCCCAGGCGTTCCAACCTTCTGACTAGCAGCCCAATCCGTAACCATGTGTACCTGCTCCTTCCTTTGCCTGCCAGAGCCTGCCAGCCTGCCACGCCGTATCACGCCAACACAAACAGTTGTCTGAGTGAAAGTCTGTGGGCATTCTACTTTTCTGCCAGTTGACTTTGTTATGTAAAACACGGACAATTGGCTTGTGCTTTTGACACAGAATTATTTTGACCAAATACATTTCAGTCTACTTTATTAATGAGAAAACTTTTGATAAAAACAGAAAATTCTATTTCATGATGCATAGAGGGGAGAAGAAAAGAATTAATCGGTTCAGCGGACGCAGAGGTTGGGCTCCAAGGAATACACTAGGGGAATCTCTTCATTTTTAGACTTGTAATACAAGTGTCATTTTTAAGAAACACCCCCCCAATAATAATAATGAAAATAAGGGAATCTGATCTATCCCGAGAGCTTGCTTTAATAATATTATTTATGTAATTTTAATAGCACTATCTCTGTACTTGCTATATCAATGTTACCAAACAAGTCTGCTAACAGGAGCAGTGGCAGCAATTAATTTCGATTCTCCGTGTTGAAACTCTTCGACTGTAATCAAAATACATGCATGTCCCATGCTACATCTGCTTCCAGCTCCTCCGAATGCCCTCTGACCTTCACAGTAGCTGCTTTTCTGTCACATTTGATTAGTGATGGAAGTGGGTCTGGCACACAAGAGGGACACCGTATTTTGGAATGAATGGCTATTGTTATCATTCATTCTTAAACAGTTGCAGCTTTTACTCTCACTAATAGAACAGTAAAAGAGAATCTGCTTTTTAAGTTTTTGTAAATTTAATTTTTATGTTTCCCAGCCCAAGCTGTGCAAGGTTGGGGAAGCCATTTTGCAGAACTTTTAAGAATGTGAGATTCTGGCTGATATTGGCTAGAGTCCCGATTCTGCCACTGGCTGACTTTGTATATCTGGTCGAATTACTTCATTACACTCTTGCAAGGACTAAATGATATATTCAGATGCAGTTCTCAGTCTAATGCTGGGCACAGAGAAGGTACTTAGTAAGTATTAGCCACTCTTATAACATTATGAGCGCCTCTGCACCTGTCCCAAGGAATGGAGCGTTCCTCTGTCATTGAAGAGAAAAAGGAGCATGCACGCATTGGAGTGGGTAAAGGGGTTCCACATGTAGAACAACATACTTCAGACAGGCGGACAAGCAGAAATGTAAATGCATATGCATGTACTATACCTTGACTACATATTTTACTACATCTGTTTAATAAAGTAAATCAAGTAGTGTGATGCTTTAGACATGCATTAACTATGTATGTATATAGAAGTACAAGTCAAGAATAATTTTCCTTTCATTAAAAGTCTCCTTTAATATTAAATCATACAAAGAGATGCATTGTTTTGGGCAACAAATTTATATGAAAAGGGTGATAAAAATTATTACTATGTTACTTGTCTCTCAGGTAAATTGGTGGATGAAACCGGAGAGTACGCATACATGTATATTGCCTGTGGGATGATCGTGGTCCTCGCGAGCCTGTGGTTGCTCATTGGCAATGCGATAAATTACAGATTGCTCGCCAAGGAAAAGAAATTGGAAGAAGCAAGGAAAAAGAAAATGCAGGAAGACTCCAGATCCTATGAACCTTTGAACACCTCGAAGTCTCCTTCTGTTAGCATCAAAAGCTCAAAAGGAAGGAAATTTCCCTCAGAAAGAGAAACTAACATTTAACAAGAAGTACATTTCTAATTTCAGTGTTTATTGCTTTGCTTAGGGGGATATATTTTCCAAAATATTTGTAAGGTTGTTTTTTAGTAGGAAGTTAAAATTAAGGAAAGAGATGATATTTTCTTCAATACCAATTTTAAATGTTTATTGTTAAAGGCTTACATTTTGAGAGTATGCATATAAAAAAAGTCATGGATTGAGCTGACCTCCAAATATTGAAGTCTTCCACTGACGGGTAGTCTTGATCATATAGAGAGAGCTCCGAATCTTAAAGCACCGGTTTAAGTAGTTAGTTATTTAGGAAGAATATGTTTGATTCCATAACATGTGATCTTCTCCACATTTCATGTGTGATTTGGTATTAAAATGTATGGTCACATTGAAGGGAAACACAGAGTTCCCCTACACACACACACACATACACACACACACACACACACACACACACACGCTTAAAAGTGTATTTTCACAGTATTTAAAAGAAATCCCTGGGGACAAAAATGTCAACTGCAGATTATTTTACAATGAGAGTTTTAAGGATAAGAACCTCATTAAAAGTGAGATTGGTCTTCATTAGAAAAATGCAGCTGACTAACGTAAATAAAAATCATTTGCATATATAAAATGAGATAAAGAAAAGAGGAAGAAAATAAAACTCAATTTTAAACCACTATACATGAGTATTATTGGATTCTTATTAATTATTAACTATTATTACCTGCTGATTCGTCCATGAACATGGTTTTCCTGCCCTGATGCAGGGGTAGCCATTATTAGTGCCTGAGCTGACAAATGATTCATGAATCTTATTTAATATACAAATGATACTAAAAGTCCAAATGCTTTCTAGCTGAAAACTCTTCATTAACTTAAAAACAAATTTATAGTTCAAAGAGAATTTAAAAAGGGAACTTCTTTTTACCAGACTTGGAGATTCGCGATCCTACTGAACCGCCAAAATAAATCAAACTGGAACCCTGGCGTACATGTATACAAACGGGTTGAATTCCTACTTTCCCAGGACATTGAGGTGGTCGGAGCATTGCTGTTATGAGCAATCATCTGAGTAACGTTGATTCACAGTGGGAGGGAGCTTTAATGATCGCTGCCAACTCTTAGCTCCTTCTCCTCAGCAGAATGCGGAAAACAAAACCCGGAGACCTGTTACAGCCTTTTGTGCTCAGCCACAGATCGTGCTTCATAGAAATAGCAGCACTTGGAACCCCTGCCCTCTGCTGGCTAAACTCTTTGCTGCCTAAGAGCACAAAGAAATGAGTAAACTGCTGAAGGGTTTTTAGCCAAGTAGGGGGATTTAAAAGTCTATGGGGGAAAACTCCATTATCTTTCAGTTCCATGACTTTTATGAAGCCCCCTTGTATGACTTGGAAATGTAGATATAGTCTGTAACATTAATAGCAAGAAGCTTTCACTGCTGAAACCCAGATTAGGTTAGCAGTTCCTCATTTCATCACTGTTTGAAAATTTCTGGGACTCTAAATCGATCTTGAACACAGAAGCCTCTCTTAGGGCTGTGCTTTCGATATCGTTCATTTTCAGTAAGAAAGTATGTTTAGACAAGAGTGTGTGTCACTGTTAAACTTATCAATATTTACAATGACAACTCTGAAGTTTAACTGTTATTAATAAAAGGTATTTAGTGACTAATTACTGAATTGAAGTATTCTGAGACAGTAAAGGGAAGTTTGCTTTTGCAGTTGTATTGCAGTAGAAGCAGATGCTATGCTGATGGCCTGTAAGAATGCATCTGTTCACCACGGTTTTATAAAGAGTTGATTGAAAAACTCATAAGCATTTATGTATAATTTAAACAACTGGCTCATATCTAGGAAGTTATATGAAATTCCACATTTCATTTAACATTTTTGTATAAGAATTTTATGTTTTCAAATGGTAAGTAGAACACAATGGTGCCAATGTCATTGGTATAAATAAATTAGGGCAAAGGTAGCAGGTATTACACGTTGCTTTTCATTTTGGTTTCAGCTAATCTTGATTCTTAAATAAGCTATTTTCATATTATTAGTGCTTTTATATTCAATTCTGACTTGTCGCAGAAAATACAGTTTCATACACTGTGTAGCACTGATACATTTCAAAAATTATCTTGAATTCAAGATAATCTTGATTAATACAGATTTCAGGTCCCAGAGGAACGTAAAAGGCTAAGTTCTGTATATATTTGAGTATAAGCTGACCCAAATATCTGCTGAGGCACCTAATTTTACTACAAAAACTGCATTAAGAATGTGCTGGAAAACTCGGCTTATATAGATGAGTATATACAGTAATTATCATGGGGCTTTCGTTATAAGCTATCTCCTTAGTGCTTCCTCCTTTTTGTCACCTGCTGGTAAAGTCATGCTAGTCAGCACCTCTCAGTGTCCCCAACTCCAGGGCATCTGTTTCCTGCTCCACAGGAGGTGCTGCATTTACTAAGGGCTGGCCATCTGATCAAGTGAAAGCCATCTCCCATTTGTTTTGTTGCTCTTTGGTTGTCTTCATTTCAAGCACTGATTATATTGCTACAAAAAGAAAAGGAAGTAAAATTGCACATTTGAAGCACATGATAAATGCGGCACCTGGTAATAGCATGACACAAAATTGCACCAGTGCAAACCAGTACACACGTGAAACATTGATATAGACAGACTCTGTAGTCAACTTCCCAAATCCAAACCCATTCCCATTCAAATCAATTCCAACTCAGAGTGCGCCTGCAGGACAGAGTAGAAGTACCCTAAAGGTTTTCCAAGACTGTAGTCTTAGAACCAGCTTTCTGCATCTGTCTCCCAAAGAACAGTTGGCAAGATAGATAAGAGCTCTTGGTTGGTAGCCGAACAGGTATCTGTGCCAGGAGGATGCCTTCCAGAATTATTCCAGGACAAAATCATTCCATTTGTGTGCGCTCTCTCTCTCTCTCTTTCTCTCTCTCTCTCTCTCCCCCCTCCCTCCATTCCTCCTTCCTACCTTCTACCCCCATGCCTCTCATTCTCCCTCCCTCATGTTCCTCACCCACCCCACTTAAACTTGCTAGAATATTTGTTGTTTTGACAATCTTTTAAAGATTAAAGGAACGGTGTCCTCAAACGTTAGTCGTGAATATGGTTCTTCTCCAGGAATGATAGGTTTTAGATATTCAAACTATGATAAAGACATATGATATGATATTCAAACTATGATAAAGACATCTCTAAATTCCCTATGGAAGCCCCATCTCCCCCCATCCCAATATAGAATTCTACAGAAAAAGGGCTTTTGTACATCAAGGTACCAAAATTCATGATCACTAGATAATGCATATGTTTCCACTTGGAGTCCAATGGTTAATAACGATGATATTAGAATATGTAAAAAATAAGCACCCCATATTTATCATCATGTAAACTTTTTTTTTTACTAATTTATTAATAGAGCATTGGGTCTAGGCATATCCTGACCCATCCCCACTCTCTTTTCTGATGCCTTTTGGGGCCAGCCAGCATACACTTAAGAGCAGAAGGATTCACCATACTTAACCTTGTAAGAAAGACGTCAGCGTGTAATTTATAGAACCCATAAATGTCACTTCTTTAGTGCCATGTTGCAGCCAACTAGCTCATGGAACCATGGGTTTCCCATGGACTCCAGAAAATAAGCATAAACCACTAGTGTGGTAGGTCAGAAGGTATAGTTCAAAACCATATATTATTTTATGAGCAGCTCGGATGGTGTGGTGGCTTAATCATTGGACTGCTAACTGAATGGTCAGGGGCTCCAACCTAGTAACCACTCCATGCGAAACAGATTAGGAGTACACTGCCCTAAAGATGTATCATCTCAGAAACCCTGGCGAGCAGTTCCACACTGACCTATAGGGTTTAAAGTCTGAATCCACTCAAAAGGCAGGGGTTTTGGTGGTAAAGTATTTTATACCCACCTGTGTCTGGCTGCACAACCTGACAATTGAGAATATAGGGGAAAAAAACACCAAAGTGTGGGATATAAATGCAATAAATTTTATGTAATGATATACATGTATATTTGAATGTGTGTGTGTGTGTGTAGATATAATACCCTTCATCAGTTAGTTGAAATGTATTTTCCATCCAAGAATATCTTAAAGAGCTCATAGATAGGTTATATTGCAGTCTTCCAATAAAAACAAAAATTATTATTAGGGTCAATTTGATGGGGAGAAAGGATGCCAAGTGAGAAGGAAACATATTATGGTATATGCACTTTCCCTACATAATACCTTTTTTAAAAATCGTTTTATTAGGGGCTCATATGAGTCTTATCACAATCCATACATACATCAATTGTGTAAAGCACATTTGTACATTCATTGCCCTCGTCATTCTCAAAACATTTGCTCTCAACTTAAGCCCCCGGCATCAGGTCCTCATTTTTTCCCCTGCCCTCCCCGCTGCCTGCTCCCTCATGAGCCCTTGATAATTTATACATTGTTTATTTTGTCATAATACCTTTTAATACTCAAAACAACAATGCAGCTAGAGGGTATTAGCCTGATATCACAGATGAGTGAACAAAACAAAAAAATCCTGACCTACAAAGAAATTCAGCTATTTATCCAGAGAAAAAGCCAGTATGTGACAACTCAGGTTTATCCCAAAATTAAGGCTGTTCACAACCATACTGCCTTCTGCTAGAAGCTACAGATGCTAAGGTAGGTAAAATAACAGGTGAAACAATTTCAATACTATTTGATAAACCAATAATTTTGCTTTGAAATGCTCTAATTTATTTAGTATTTATTGGAGACTGAATGTACTAGAACTTGAATATGTAATTTTAAATTGCCTGCTCTTTTACCCAATGCAAATCATCTCATAATGGTAATGATTATACCATAACCATAATTGTTTTAATATAACATTTTCTCATAAAAATGCTGGCATATTTATATGACTCGGGCATAATAAATTTTTCCTGAGTTTTAATTTAGAAGGAGAATATTATTTCTTTATGGATAAGTATTTGTTGCTATTCATTATAATGCAAAAGTACTTACTGTGAAGCATATTTACAATTTTAGTGATTATTTGTATCTCTACGATTATCCTAAGGTACCAAACAACAAACAAAAGCAACTATGAGATGCAAAATATTTGGTTCATTAAAAAGAAATGGTTTCAAGTCAATTCGGACTCCTGACGACTCTTTGTGTTTCAGAGCAGTCCCAGCCCACCTTGGTGTTTTTGATGGCTGTGATCTTTTGGAAGGAGATCACCAGTCCTTTCTTCTGAGGAACCTCTGTATGAGTTCCAAATGCCAGCCTGTTGGTTACCACCCTCCTGGGCATGATCCAGGGACTCCTTGATTCATCTCATTATTTAGTGTACAACTGGTCTATCACATTTTATTACATCCAGTCTTATTTTTTATGGTCCCCAAACACCTGTATTATCACAACCCTTTGCATTGACCTATTCGGTAGGGACCACTGCCATTACTTCTGCCCCCTCTCTCTTCCTTGAAGTCCTTGGATGATGATTCTGCTTACATCTATTTCTCTTTGTACTCTCTTTAAAAAGTCCCCTGAGCTGAATTTGCTCTTTTTTGTGATGTGTAGAAATGGCTCTATTCCTAGATACAGCAGGATACACCCTTGGGCATGACCAGTCATCACAAATGAGGCACCCCTTGTGGACTATAGACTTGAAGTTTACTGGTTAAGGGATGTGCTCATATTCTAGTGTGTTTTGTGTTAATATGAGTATTAAGAAAACTAAATCATTAATTGAATCTGATTTCAACTAATACAGAGAAATCAGGCTTCGAGTTCTTGGCATTGGGTGTTTCTTAAAGTGTTTCTTACAGTGCCTTACAACTTAGAGAACCCAAGCTTGCAGACATCACAGCACCATGGCGTTCTTTCAGTGCAGGAACATCACTGACATTATACCCTAACAACGGCTGACATGGTTATTGACAAAAAAACTAAACATCTTTACTCGCCTCCCTGTTTTTTAGGTTTTGATTTGTACATATCCATGTATTCACATGATCTTATGGTTGAGAAATGCACTTAAAGACTGAGAGACCTAGTTATGTGTAGTAATGATCATTATAATTATATGCAAATAGTAATTATAATACTTACATAAAAATCTAGCTTTGTTGAGACATCGAACAATGGGAGATTGGTAGCATTCCCGTAATTTTTAAGAGTCTGCTTTACTCTGCCATCAGCTTTTTGTACATGCTTTACATTTTAGCTGTTTGCCAAGCTCCTCTGAGCTGGTCTTCTTGCCCTTTATGCTTTGTCATGGCTTTATTTCACTTATGTGCTGTTCGTGAAAGAATTATTATAGCAGAGATGATTGCTTTAAAATCCGTTA